CGGACTGGGTTCAAGGCACTGCTCTCTTCAACTGTTCACTGGTCGTTTGATGCCTACCAAAGCTGCTTCATCTGCCTGCCCCAGTGAGAGTCTGTTTTCTAGAGTGTGTTGCTGGCATGCCTCTCTGGGCTTGAGCTCCCTGTCACAGTAGTTGTCAATTTTCCTGTGTTAGTCCCCGGGCGGCCCGGGCCAGGCAGTGCCCGGGCAGGGTCCTTGGCGATCCCAGCGCATAATATTTAAAAAATAGAAGAAAAATCCGAAAACAAAATATGTTGTGTAAAATTGCAACACAAACGACTTTTGGCTGAGGGCCACCTCGAAATTCCTTGTTAATTTTAAGATAAAAATAAATGAGAAAACACGAGTCCAAATGTACCCTTTTAAGTTTTAACCCCTTTAGTCACTGTTTATACCGCCCGACCCCCCCTGGATGACCCATGACCAAAACCAAAGTTAAGACGGGATTCTGACGGCCTAGGCCAAGCGCAGTCCTGGGCTGAAGTTTTTTTTTTCTTGGGTGGGGGGAAGATCCTTCCCTCTCTTTTGACCCGTCTGGTTTTGCCTGGCGACCCCCCTTCTGCCCAACTGGCCCGGGCGTGCCGGGCCGGGCGACGGCCCAACATAGCAATTTTCTTCTTCCCTTCCCTATACTCTTAAAGAATGCAAAGGGCCCAGCGTGACGCTTCCCGCTGGGCCCAGCGAAATTCGGTGTGGAGGCGGGTGGGACTGGGGCAAGGTAAATCGGCCACGGCGTTTCGTGGCGGGACTGCGGGCGGGAGTGAGGGAAATTCGGTGTGGCGGTTCCACGCGACACGCCCCGCTCTGCAGTGTCGGGAGGACAAAAAGTCCCGTTCCCCGCTGCCACGGTTTTTCTTTCAACCCCCGCATTCAGTTCTGTTTCCCTCCTGTCCGTGGTGCCGGGCGGGGGCCGCGTCGATATGGAAAAGGGCGGCGATGGAAAGATGTGATGGAGGAGGGAGGATCAACGCAGGAGGAGGGAGGAGGAAGAGGGAGAAAGACATTTGGGGCATGTGGCACGTGTGCGCTCAGAGCAGGAAGGGTGGGAGAAAGAGGGAGGATGAAGAGGGAGAAGCATGTTTGGGCCGATCGAAACAAAGGGGGCAGCATGAGGAGCAGCGAGGATGAGAAGGAACAACGAAAAAGAGTAGGGGTAAGGGGACGATGAGAATGGAGGAAAGAGGAGGAGGATGGAACAAAAGGAGAAAGAGGGACGAAAAGGAGGAGGACAATAAGCATGGCAGACGACGAGAATTCATGGAGGAGGGGAGAGGATGTAGGGAGGAGGTTGCCAGGGGGAGGAGGAGGTCGGAACGAGGGGGATGAGGAGGTCGTACAAGGAGGAGGAGGTTGTGCGAGGGGGAAGCGGACGTCGTGACAAGGAGGAGGTCGGAAGAGAGGTGGGAGGAGGTCATGCGAGGGGGAAGCAGACATCGCGACAAGGAGGAGGAGGAGGTCGTGCGAGGGGGATGAGGAGGTAGGTGGAGGACGTGTGAGGGGGAGGAGGTCGCACAAGGATTAGGAGGACGTTGTGTGAGGGGGAGGAGAGGTCGAGCAAGGGAGAGGTCAAAAGAGGGGGAGGAAGTCGCGCGAGGGGGAGAAGGGGGGCGCGAGAGGGGTAGGAGGAGGTTGCGCGAGGGGTAGGAGGAGGTCGCGTGAGGGGTAGGAGGAGGTCGCGCGAGGGGTAGGAGGAGGTCGCGCGAGGGGGAGGAGAAGGAGGACGTCGTGGGAGGGGGATGAGGAGGTGGGTGGAGGACGTGTGGGGGGGAGGATGTCGCACAAGGATGAGGAGGACGTTGTGTGAGGGGGAGGAAGAGGTCGAGCAAGGGAGAGGTCAGAAGAGGGGGAGGAAGTCACGCGAGGGGGAGAAGGGGGGCGTGCGAGGTTTAGGAGGTCTCGCGAGGGGTAGGAGGAGGTCTTGCGAGGGGTAGGAGGAGGTCACGCGAGGGGGAGGAGGAGGTTGGAAGATGATGTGTGAGGGGGAGGAGTGGGTCGCGCAAGGACGAGCAGGAGGTCGCAAGAAGGGGAGGACCCTAGGAGAAGGTCGGACAAGGGAGAGGAGGAGGTCAGAAGAGGGGGACGTGCAAGGGGGAGGAGAAGGTAGTGTGAGGGAGACGAGCAGGTCGCACGAGGAGGTCATGTGGAGGTCGGAAGGGAGGTGGAAAGAGGTCGCGCGAGTGCGATGAGGAGGTCGGAAGAGGACACGAGAGGTGAGGAGGAGGTCGTGCAAGGAGGAGGAGGAGCTGGAGGAGGTCAAAAGAGAGGTGGGAGAACGTCGCGTGACGGGGAGGAGGAGGTCGGAAGACGATGTGCAAGGGGGAAAAGCAGGTTGCGCAAGGATGGGGAGGAGGTCCCGTGAAGGGGAGGAGGAACTTGTGCGAGGGGGAGGGAGGAGGTCCTATGAGGGGGAGGAGTGGGTTGTGCACGGGGGAGGAGGAAGTTATGGGAGGGTTGGAGCAGGTCGCACGCTGGGGTGAAAGGTCGCAGGAGGTCGTGCGGGAGGGGGAGGAGGAGGTCGCACCAGTGGGAGGGGGAGGTCACGCTAGGGGGAGGAGTTTGTGCGAGCGGGAGGAGGGGGCCACGAGGGAGGGCGAGGAGGTCGCGCTAGGGAGAGGAGGTCGCACAAGGGGGAGGAAGTATGTGCGTGCGCTCGCACACGAGAGAGAGAGAGAGAGAGAGAGAGAGAGAGAGAGAGAGAGAGAGAGAAGATTAGCATGTCCAAAAAAAAAAGGTGCGAATGTATCTGAAGCAGACAAGGGACCAGATACATTCGCACCTTGAGAGAGAGAGAGAGAGAGAATGGGGCGGGGTGCGGTCAGCGGCTTTTCCTGTACTGGCAAAGTGGGATCGTTTTCCAGCCCGAACCCATTCCCGCCAGAAGCCAAAAACGAAAAAAAGAAAAACAGAAAAAACAGGAGGACCTGCTAGGCCAGGCCACCTCCCGTTCTTGCCAATTATGAACCCGTGGGTCGTGGAAAGCATAGTTTACTGTTTTTCTTGCTGTTTCGAACTGCTAATGGCCCAATCTTGCAGCGAACTGTTATTTCTGCAGATTCTGAACTGTGCAGCGGTCACAGGCGCAGTTGTCTCAATCTTTTTCCTCTCAAAGTTTTGGCACTACAGACCACTGTAGCACTCCCGAGACCACAGACCATTGGGGCACTATTGGCAAGCTCGACTCCGTGCGGGGAGTAGTACCCAACCTTCTGACCCCTACTGAAGGATGGCAGGACATTTCACACCTGCCAAGATTAGCCAGGGGGGGCGAGCCGACTATCTCAGCTCGTGAACCCCATGCGCCTGAGGGGGCCGTGGGGGATCGAACGGATGAATTGGGGAATCGAACCCGCGACCTCCTGAATACCACTTATGTGTTCTACCAACACATCAGATTGTAATATAAATGTAACAATCTTTTTTCAACTTGACAGGGGTTGAAACAGGCCAAACAAACCTTCAAAAAAAAAAGAAAAAAACTTAAAAAAAGTCAAAAAAAAAAGTAACCAAAAAAAAGTAAAAAAACAAAAGGGTCCTTCCCATTCTGGCTCGTTTTCATTCTGGAGAGCGTGAGTCCCACTCCTCTCCGCCGGCAAGTTGGATGAGACAAATGGTAAGACCAACTCGAAGCTTCCTGCTGTCTGGGCCGAAGGAACTCTGAACAGCATTGATTACTCTCTGAGGGGAAGGACTGACCATTAGATAGCCTTTTTCCTTCTGAAGTTCCTCTTAGTCTGAGCCTCGCTTGGTCTCTGGAATTGACATGAGTATCCAACAGCTGTCGAAGTGTTGGCCTTTGGTAGTGTAGAAGATTGACTATTGACTAGATACGAGCTCTGTATCTTTCCTCAATGTTCCGGCGCCTTCGGTCTTGAGTTGGCACTGTCTGTCTTCCAGCTTAACCGCTGTGGTTCATCCCAGCCCCTGCCCATTTTTCCCATCTCAATAAGTTGTTATCTATCCTTGCAATTTTACCCTGCTGCAGCCAATTTTTGTAAAATACTCTCTTGTTGGGAGCGAACTTACCCAGCTTTGCTGAGTTCTTGATTATGCTCCACCTGAAGCGCGCTTCAGTTTTCACCTGTCTGTCATCCCTGAAAGACGGAAAGTGGCAGGATAGATAAATGTAAACAAACTAGTGTATGCTGTGCATGGGAAGATGGGATAACTAGCTGACCTCCAAACCATTCGAAATACCACCTGCCGTTTAACAGCCATTTCGTCAAAACGAACGTATTATATTTTTTGAATGAAATTAAAATTGAGTTTTTGGGCTGAAATCTGGTCCAAATTTTTGGCTCCTGGGGGGTCCGCCGTTCCTAGAACGCCGGACCCCCTAGATGTATCTGGTCGCAGCTTTAGACTAGATACATCTAGAGGGTCCGGCGTTCTAGGAACGCCGGACCCCTAGGAGCCAAAAATTTGGACTGGATTTCAGCCCAAAAACTCAATTATAACTCGTTCAAAAAATATAATATGTCCGTTTTGACGAAATGGCTGTTCTTTGAGGAATTCTTCCTCTTTGGATTTACAGCTGCTGATGCGGCTGATGCTGCTGCTGCTGCTGCTCTCTCTCTCTCTCTCTCTCTCTCTCTCTCTCTCTCTCTCTCTCTCTCTCTCTCTCTCTCTCTC